ATACTGATATAATGAAAAGCAAAATGATATTTGTAGCTGTCCTAAAATAAAAGTCAGGATTTTTTCTCTTCATGTTGAGTAACTATTGGTTTACTGATGTTTGCTCACTGTTCTACTGGCTTACTAATTTTGAGACTTTCTCTGGTTATTTCCCAGTCCTTAAATTAATTGAATTTAACTATTGTTTTGGCATAATGTCAGTGGTACCCTGAGACAAGCAAATGAAAACATGTATCTCTTTCCAGTTGAAAGTTTAGTGACATATTACTAGCTGGGCACAAACCATAGTGGGAGCATTTACACCTTTGGAAGCATTTACACCATGATGCTACAAATCAGTTTCTCTCTCTATTTCCTGAGAGGTGGTTGTTAAATTTATCATTATACCATTGCAAACTGAGCAGGTAGCCTAAGAAAGACTTTCTCATCTGGGGGTCTGTCAGATTCTTAGGGATAGAAGGGATTTTCTTTTTATACATTGTTGTAATCAACTTGCTAATATTTCATTGAGGATTTTTTCATCTATGTTCATGAGAGAAATTGACCCATAGTTTTCTTTTCTTGTAATGTCTTTGTCTGGTTTTGGTATTAGGGAAATGCTGACCTCATAGAATAAGTTAGAATGTAATCCTTCTGCTTCTGTCCTCTGAAAGAGGTAGTAAAGAATTGGTATAATTTCTTCCTTAAATGTTTGGGAAAATTCAGCGGTGAACCCATTAGAACAGTGCTTTCTGTTTTGGAAAGTTATTAATTTTGATTCAGTTTCTTTAATAGATACAGGCTTATTCAGATGTCTATTTCTTCTTGTGCAAGTTTTGGCAAATTGTGTCTTTCAAGAAATTGGTCCATTTCATCTAGGTTATCAAATTTAAGTGTAGAGTAGTCATAGTATCACTTCATTAACCTTTTAATGTTCATAGGATCCATAGTAATGCCCCTCTTTCATTTCTGATACTAGTAATTTGTGTTCTCAATCTCTCTTTTTCTTCCTCTGGCTAGATGCTTATTGACTTTATTGATAATTTCAAAGAACCACCGTTTGGTTTCATTGATTTTATCTAGATTTCCTTTTGTCAATTTCACTGATTTCTGCTCTAATTTTTTTTTTCTTCTGCCTTCTTTGGAATTAACTTTCTCTTCTTCTAGTTTCCTGAGGTGGAAACTTAGATGATTGATTTACATCTTTCTTTCCTAATATATGCATTCAATGCTATAAATTTCCCTCCTAGCACTGCTTTTGCTGCATCCCACAAATTTTGATAAGTTGTGCTTTCATCACCATTTAGTTCAAAATATTTTTAATTTCTCTTGAGATTTCTTCTTTGACCTATGTATCATTTTGAAATGTGTTGTTTAATCTCCACATATATGAGGTTTTCCAGTTATCTTTGTTATTGATTCTCTTAATTCTACTGTGGTCTGACAGCAGATATTATATGATTTCTATTCTTTTAAATTTGTTAAAGATGTATTTTATACCCAGAATATGTCCTGTCTGGGTGAATGTTGCTGGTGAGCTTGAGATGAATGTGTATTCTGCTGTTGTTGGATGGTATAGCCTGTAAATGTTTAATTATATCCATTTGATCAATGGTAATGTTGAATTCAACTATTTCCTTACTGGTTTTCTGCCTGCTACATCTGTGCATTTGTGATAGAGGGGTGTCAGAGTCTCCAACTATGATAGTGGATTCATCTGGTTTTTTCTGTTTTTGTTTTTGTTTTTGGTAATTCTGTTAATTTTTGCTTCACAGAGTTTGACTCTTTTTAGTAAGAATTTATTCTTAATACTGTCAAAATTACAGAAAACTTGCAAGAATAGTATAGTACAATAGTAAGATTCTTGCTTAGGTCCAGAGTCCCTGCACCTAAGCACCATGCTCTATTGCTTTTCCAGAATCAGAACTGCAACTTAGTGTAGCACAAATTCATCTATTATAATTTGGATTTTTCTTACATACTAATTCCTCCATAGCTGTTTTCTTTTGTATTATTTATATACCACAATGTTTTATACTTTATCTGGTTTATATTATCATTCTAAATTTTTTCTTTTCATTCATATAAAAGAAACATTTTAACTCTGCCACATATTATGTCATTAAATTAAATTCTGGTTGGGGTGTTCTGTACTGATTTAAAAAAAATAAAAGGTCTTCAGACAAACACCTCTACTTATATGTAATAGAAACTTCACAGATAATAAATGAATAAGCATCACCCAATTGTAATCCTCCAATAAAAAAAAATGCATCAGTGGCTTTTTGTTAACCAACAGCCTTGAAAATTGGACATATTAAAATAATTGGAATAGCTAAATTTTTTCAATCACACAGTCCATACATCAGTAATCCAAGTTAATAAAGAAGTAGTTTTGAGTAATATCTGCCTTATATTTAAAGGCTTTGTTGTTTCTTTTTTTCTTTTCTTTTTTTTTAGGGTTAGTCAAATACTTTTTAGTCCAAATTCTTAACAGCTAAAATACATGTGTGTGATTATGCTTGTCTGTGTCTACTAAGTACACGGATATGTAATAAACTCAACTAGAAAATAGTTAATTGAAAGAAAATCTAAGGTGTGTTTTAAACTATATTCTAAACAAAGCAGGCAAATGACAATTTAATGTCATTACTTGGTTTTCAACTAATTCTTTTGGTGTCTGATAGGTTGTGTTAAGAGAATATTTAGACACTGACCTTAAGGCCCTATTTTGGTTCATATCTTGGTTCAACTGGGTGACCACAAAAACATATTTTAGGAGCCCTATTTCTAGAAAATTACCCTTAAAACAAAAATATCACTTGATACTGACTTACACATAAGAGAAACCATAATGTTGATTCTTAGCCCATGCACCTGGTAGGAAACACAAGGTTGTTTCAGTCTTGCGGTTAGATGGTATAATATGTTAGTTACCAAAAGGAAGGCCTTAATATCACTCCGTGGAAACTACTGGTCAAATTCTTGGTGTTTAGGAAGCAGGTGAGTACGTTATTCAGAATTTTTAATTCATGAACATTATGTAATGGAGACAATTTTTTAAGGAGTTACAACTGTGCAAATCATCATGTTGTTGAAGGATCTAAGTGTATTTTTAAACATGAAGCTGAATCAGGCTTAAAGATGTGGTCTTGAGTCTAGAGTCCAAGTTATCATTATGAAAATGATTATATTCATTATAATTGCATCTAGATCTGTTATACAGCCTTGCTCCTAAGCTTCTGGTTCCTTCCACTTTTCCCAGAGCATAAAGCACAAACAAATGCTTATCTAGGATTTTTTAAACTTAGATTGTATTTACATATGGTAGTTTGATTACATTCTATTTTAATAAAATAGTCCCTTTGGATAACTGTAAGCATTCATTTTGGCATTAGGTAGCCTTCTGAATTTTCCTATAAACACTAATTCCCATGAAAATCTAACCAGGAGGAGAAAGGAATAACGTTATTTATGTTTCCTTTGGTTCAATTTCAGTTATTTTTGATTCCAGGCTAATTTAAATCATTACTGAGTTAATTTACTTGTATAATTTTGTTTATTTAACAAATGTGGTTCTGTGCCTTGCAACTTGCAACTTGTCTCGTGGGATATTTGTAGTTCATGGAGCATGGGGCACTTGGCAGCCTTGGAGTGCATGCAGCGAAAGTTGTGGTAAAGGTGCCCAGATAAGGACCAGACTGTGCAATAATCCACCACCATCATTTGATGGATCCTATTGTGATGGGGCAGAAACACAGATGCAAGTTTGTAATGAAAGACACTGTCCAGGTAAGAGAAATACAGTGTTTTTACCTGTAATAAATTGACATCTACCTCTTATCTGAGTAGCATGTCAGTAAGAATCAATGTCAATAAGAACATCACCCAACCTAACAATGCTCAGGGTATTGTGGTAACAGAGCACATATGTTTTTCCTTAATCCAGTTGATGGCAAGTGGGCAGCTTGGACCAGTTGGAGTACCTGTACTGTGTCCTGTGGAGGAGGTGCCAGACAGAGAACAAGGGAGTGCTCTGATCCTGTCCCCCTGTATGGAGGAAGCAGATGTGAAGGGAGTGATGTCCAGAGCGATTTTTGCAATAATGACCCTTGTCCAAGTGAGTGTTGGAAATAGTGAGTCAACATTATACTTTCTTAAAGTTTTGTTAGGCCTTAAGTCCTTGAAGTTATAATATACTGGCACACCTGGGTGGCTCAGTTGGTTAAGTGTCTGCCTTCAGCTCAGGTCATGATCCCAAGGTCCTGGGATCAAGTCCCAATGGGGCTCCCTGCTCAGTGGGGAATCTGCTTCTTCCTCTCCCTCTGTCCCTCCCCTCTGCTCATGTGCTTTTTCTCTCAAATAAAATCTTTAAAAATAAAAAAAAATTAAGAATTTTTAAAAAGTCATAATATACTGTTACTGGATTCATCTAGCTTTGGTTTAGAATATCCAAGTGTTGTACAGTTGCTGCTGTGCCTGTATAATACCATAGGTGTAACTGATTTATATAGGCAAGGGCTGTGTCCTATTTCATTTCCTCTCTAGGACAGGCTGCAGAATGCAAGGACAAGGGCACTCTTACGGCGTTGATGATATCTTTACAGAGGCAAGCGGGTGGCTCTTTTCCTTAAATCAGTCACCAACCTAGATTTTAAGACCCTAACAGCATCTGAATCCACTGTATCTGGATTTTATAGTCTTGACTCATCAAGAGCAGAGATCTTGTCTCATTCATATCCTTCAGCTCCTGGAATACTGTAAGACTCAATAGGTGTATATTAAATGGAATTTCTCAATGATGGGAATGTATACCCCGTTTCTAGTCAGAATAACAGCTAAACCATCTGCCTTTGGAAGTTGCCTATTCACCAATTCGTATATTTCTTTTCAGTTCCTGGAGAGAGTCTTACCATACTCTTTGGATGAATGTCATTGTTTAGCACCTGTTCCAATGGTTCTCTGTTGTAGTTCATGGTAACTGGAGTCCTTGGAGTGGCTGGGGAATGTGCAGCCGGACATGCAACGGGGGGCAGATGCGGCGGTTCCGCACATGTGATAACCCTCATCCCTCCAACGGCGGAAGAGCTTGTGGGGGGCCAGACTCCCAGATCCAGAGGTGCAACACTGACATGTGTCCTGGTGAGCCCCCTGACTCCTGGCAGTAAAATAAGGAGAGCATTTCACTTAGTGCTCATTGTAGCTAGCCCCATCATTTCAGATCTTAAAATGAGAGTTGTATAGGTAGGGTCATCTGAACTGTAGATTTTAAAACCCATGGGTTAATATTGGCCATTCCATTCTTGTTCACAGTGGATGGAAGTTGGGGAAACTGGCATAATTGGGGCCAGTGCTCTGCCTCTTGCGGAGGAGGTGAAAAGACTCGAAAACGGCTGTGCAACAATCCAGTGCCATCTAAAAGCGGGCGCCCCTGTCCAGGAGATGCTACTCAGGTGTCCAGATGCAATATGCAAGCATGTCCAGGTAAGCAACTGAGTTAGACTTTGGTGGAACCATTGCTAATTTATCTACAGCCTTCCTGCAGATTAGAAAAGGATATCCCTCTGAGCCCACAAATTGCAAAATGGTGCCAACTCCAGAAGGAAGAATTAGGAAAAATGTATTTTTTTCCCCTTCAAGTTGGTCTACACCAAATCTTATGGCTGGATTTTAGCTGCTGTTCATCCCCATCCAGGCCCCCTTGTAAAAAGATATGGTCTGCACAGCTATAAATAGTAGTCCTAGGCTTGAGGAATACAAAGGTTTGGAAGACTGGAGAAAGCCAGGCTGAGATTCCAGGCTGAAAATGAGAGTGAGACAGAAACTGAATACTTAACAGAAATACACAGTTGGGGGCTATTTTTTCATGGATGGAAATATGGAGAACATGAATGTGGAAAGTAAAATAGGGGCCAGTTCAGTTCTAGGAAAAAGAGTAGGGGGAGTTCAGGTATGATAACCCAAGTCATACAACGTGGCTGGATATTGTAAATGATGTAAAATTTCAGAAGGTGGGACACCTGGGTGGCTCAGTTGGTTAAGCGTCCAACTCTTGATTTTGTCATGATCTCAGGGTTGTGAGATGGAGCCCCCATTGGGCTCTGCGCTCAGTATGGGGTCTGCTTGAGATTCTTTCTCCCTTTCCATCTATCCCTACCCCCGCTGGTATACACTTTGTCTCTTACATAAATAAATAATCTTTAAAAAAATTCAGAAAGAATGAAACCAGAATTCTAAACCTATGGACCTTAGAAAGTTTTTTGGAGTCCCAAGAAATGGTGGATAATATTAAGGTTGCTTGTCTCAGAGGACTTTCTAAGGACTATAAGAAAATTAAAAAGAACAGTTTCACATTGTTAAAGTACTAAGATACCACTGAACTTTCCAAAGCCTTAAGGGTGCTTTAGAAATAAAATGTCCCTGAAAATCAGAAAGGCTCATTTGGCAGTGAGAGAGAGGAGTTACATGAAGAGATTTATAGGAACTAGACAAGCTAAAAGGAAGAGTGTCTTATCAGTCAACTGTTCAATATATCTTGTCAACATATCAACTGATTACCAAGGATTTTGAGGTTCTAACATGTAGGCATGGTGACAGTTCTAGTTTTAATTGAGGCATTTTGTAGCTCCTGGGCCTTGTTACAGGTCACTGTCAAGGGGTATTGTTCATCTAAGGGGTATTACTCTGTCATGGATAAAAGGACCCCAGGAGCAGAAGGAAGTCCAAACAGGTGAACAATTTGGATTACAGAGTCTGGCAGAGAGTTTCAAGGATCCCAATTAGCTACCGGGAAGTAGGAGATATCTGTTGAGTGCTGGGACATAAGATCCTCTGGAGACTAAGGTCAAGGTCAAAATGGTCAAATGACCCAAATCAAATGACCCAGAGAACTAAATGAATTAGTGATCCTTCTATCCCTCTCTCCTGCTTAAGACTAAAGATAAGAACCAAAATAGCCTCCAAGGTCCTGATTGGCCCTGCTGTCTACTTTCCTGTATCATCTTGCAGTATGGTTCCCACCACTCTCCACCCTTTGCTCCTTTTGGTTTCTCAAATATGGCAAGCCACCACCTCTCAAAAGGGTGACACATGCTATTTGCTCTACCCAGAAAGCCCTTGTCCCGCCTTCTCTGGCCTAGTTAACACCTAACTTTCTTCAGATCTCCACTCTATTTTTACTTTCTTCTCAGACTTCCCTAGGTAGTATATATCTCATACATTAGTACATTTCAATTTTACATTTGTTTGTGGAATTCTAATGAATGTCTGTCTCCCTCTTTCAGATATAAGTTCTATGAAGGCAGGCCTCATGCCTTTTTCTTTCTTATTATTATATCCTTGTATATTGTAACCTATGTATAAATGAACAAATGAATGTAATCCAGAACATGAAGGCTGAACCAATGTGAAAAAAAATGTATTCTGTCACAAATAATCAAAGTAATGCAAATTAAAATGGTAAAATACTATATTTACTGATTTTTCTGAAATTAAATACAATTGTATTTCTCCCTGGTATATAATATATAACAATATCTGAAACACCTAGTGACTTTTTAAAAATATATTCAGTTAGAAGTCATCAAGTAATGAATATTTATGAACTTCTCTATCAGCTTCTTCCCAGTATGTTTCCTTCTCTTGCTAAAGCATGCAGTTCACTTAAAAAGCATTCAGATCTGTATCTGTACCTCTGAAACAAATAATGCAATATATGTTAAGAAAAAAAAAGAAGAAGAAGAAGAAGAGGAGGGTAGCAGGACGGGAAGAATGAAGCAGGGGAAGTCGGAGGGGTAGACGAACCATGAGAGACGATGGACTCTGAAAAACAAACTGAGGGTTCTGAGGGGGAGGGGGGTGGGAGGATGGGTTGGCCTGGTGGTGGGTATTGAGGAGGGCACGTTCTGCATGGAGCACTGGGTGTTATGCACAAACAATGAATCATGGAACACTACATCAAAAACTAATGATGTAAAGTATGGTGATTAACATAACAATAAAAAAATTTTTTAAAAAAGCATTCATTAACCACCTATTCTGTGTCAGTAGCTAATAATTTTGTTGAACAATGGAAAGAAGGCATAAAATTACTGTAGAGATGCTTTTTTTAAAAATGTATAGTTGTTTTCAACCTAATTGTATGAATTTTGCAGCACTGTTAAAACACCCTTCTCAATTTTTTCTCAAGTTAACTATTTTCCAGTATATATAGGTATTAAAGAAAACTTGGTAAGCCTTCCATGTTTCCAATGGAAACACAAGACTGAATAATACCTATTAAATACTCCACACCTATGTTGACAGTGACCTGTAACAAGGCTCAGGAACTGTTTTGAGGTGACCCTCCTCACAAAGGAGGCAGTAGATAAAGGAACATGGGTTTTGATGCCAAGCACATCTGTGTTCAGATCTTCATTCCACCACTTATGTCTCTGAACTTTATTTTCCTAGTCTGTAAACTGTGGCCATTTAAAATGACTTTATAGGACTTTTGACTGGATTAAAAGAGTTACCTCATATTAAGTGCTTAGTATGGTGCATGACATGCTCAATAAACTCTCATTATTATCATCATTTCATCACCATCAACAAACACCTTTATTTTGGCTTTGGGACTGGGTACTGATTGTATTCTTTGGATTGTGAAATAATGCCATGATATACATAGGTTGGAAGGACCCTAGATTTATGTGGGAGGATGAGTGTTACATGAAAGTAGAATGTTTTGAAAGCTTATTTATTTCACTCCTAAATTCAGATGTCATATGATATTTTAAATGTTTGAAGGAAGATTTGTAGCATCTTTGAACACTGGCCTTCTTTTCTCCCCTGTAACATTGATGAAATTGTTTCCTTATCCAAGAATGATTTTTCTTCCCCCAATAGGTGGGCCCCAGCGAGCCAGAGGAAGTGTTATTGGAAATATTAATGATGTTGAATTTGGAATTGCTTTCCTTAATGCCACAGTAACAGATAGTCCTACCTTTGATACTAGAATAATACACGCCAAAATTACCAACATACCTCGCAGACTTGGTAAGTCTCTTTGCTTATAAAAGTTGTTAATAGCCTCTTTTTTTTTTAATTTATATGTTATTCTTCACTTATTTCTGCTTAAAACTTCTAGATGATGCTACTACTAAATGATCTGTATGATAGTCCTTAGTTCTATCCCAATGGTAAATTCTTAAAGACAGGTGAGATCCTGATACTTATTTTGCTATTATTCATTATTTAGGATTCATCCTTGTAAGTAACAGGCCCTGAAGATAATAATAATGGATTGTATATCTTTCTTTGTCACCTTATTTATCCTTTCTTCTTTAGGTCCAGCAATGAGAAAAATAGTTTCTATTCTAAATCCCATTTATTGGACAACAGCAAAGGAAATAGGAGAAGCAGTCAATGGCTTTACCCTCACCAATGCAGTCTTCAAGAGAGAAACCCAGGTGGAATTTGCAACTGGTTAGTGTCAGCTGAACTAAGTATTTTATTACTATAAAAAATACGATTGCCTTAAAAGTTGCTGCTTAAGAAAAATACGTTTATATATATTCCCCCAGAGAATAATTTTAAAGTTTTTGATGTAGTCTTATCACAGATGATATAAAAGCAATTTCATATTTCCCTGTAAACTTTTACTGACATGGATCTGTAAGAGGCCATGTGTTTTCAAACAGTATAGTGATTTTTTTATACCCCAAAAGTTTTTTCTCAACTTTTCTGTATCTTTTCTCTTTAAATCCTCAGAGAGGGTTTTAAAGGCCAAAACAGAGCAGGAAAATGAGTCATTGCTATTAAGTAAAGACTTTTGTCTATGAACCTGAGGTTCAATTAGGATACTCTATAGGGATTTTTTATCAAAAAGGTGGAAGTAAAAATAAGCAAATCTATGGGCTTTTCACTTTACTCTTAGTCTTAATGAATATGGATGAGCTATTCATGGCACTTTCCAAGTGCATACATATTTTTATTAACCTCCATTACAAGCCTCTTCAAAGGTGAACAGCCTCTATGGTAGTGCTCTGTAAGGAAGAAGGGCTGAGGAAGGGGCTTTAATCAGCCCGGAAGACAAGTGGGTCTTTTCATCGTCATCCGCTTACTAAGATGCCCCTTTGCTGTTTCTTGAAGCATCGGAAAGAACAAAGCCCTATAGCC